GAGAACTCTGCATTTGGGCAGAGTCCGCACATTTTGGCGACCGTGACAGGACACTGCATTCGGAAAGTCCAAATATAAATCCTATTCTCTCTGCATTCGGAGGAGAAATAGATTCCAGCATCGCTAGACCGCCAGATTACTTTGTGTATTTTCGGCACGCATTGCACTTCATCGGCCTATTGGCAGGGCATTTGGCATCATCGTTGGATCTCCGGAATCATCGTTGAATCTCCAGAAGAATCGTTGGATCACCGAAATCATCGCCACTGGTTCGTAGTGGATACCTGCACACCCCATAACCGTCGCAAGCTTACGAACAGCGGCACAAAGTGGACGAAAAACCGGTAGCTAGTCTCGCAAATGCAATCGCTGTTTTGTCATTCCACTCTGATCATATACACACATACTTGTGCAGACCAGCTGCAAATAAATGAGCCAAAAATTGAGTTACTCTCGCAAGCATTGGAGTGTTTCTTCTTCTCACTCAGAACCAATGGGCATTGCCAACATATTCGGATAAGGTAGTGTTTCACAATAACAATCAGTTTTCGCTACTTAACCCTTCGCAAGATGACTACGCCTGCTGATACTCAACTCGTGTCTTTAAGACAACAAAGGACAGCAATTCAGCGAAACATAGTTAATCTCAAAGCTTGCATCGAACCGCAGAACGACCTTGCTGCCCTTGAATGCCAGCCATACATTTTGAAACCGGTTTTTAAGCAAATTCTTCAAATTCAATCGCAGATCGAATGGCTGGATGCGGCCGACGACGACCGTCAGGAATTGGAGGACATATTCATAGTTACCAAAGCAATTATCATCACTCGTATTGGGGCAGCAAAGAGGGACCGGCCAGAAGATGCAAGTTTCTTCAATTCATCGGTAAATTACGCAACTGGGCACCATAATCGTTTACCATCGTCAAAGCTACCTAAGTTCGACGGAAAGTATGGTGACTATATAAAGTTCATCACTGCCTTTACTAGCATGGTACATGATGACGCTTCAATATCAGCTGTTGACAAATTCAACTACTTGCTTGGCTGTTTGTCTGGAGCCGCTCTGAGTGTCGTGGCCCCCTTTCAAGTGTCCGAAATCAATTATCCTAAAGCGTTAAAGCAGTTAAAGGAGCGCTACGATAAAAAGGTTTTGATTTTCATAGAGCACATTTCGAGCTTGTTCGATATTCAAATGATGAAAAGATCTGATCCCGCAGTTCTTCTTTGTATCTTGGATACTGTTTACGCGCTATCGCTGAATCGTTGTTGTCGTTAGGAACTGAAGCAGATGTTATGAACGCAATATTAATTCGTCTTGATTTATCTAAAATTGATGCAGATTCAAAATTATCCTACGATCGTGTTCAAGAATACGAGGTTTTGCGTACTTGGGAGGATTGTTCCCGCCGTTTAAGCCGTCACTGTCAATATTTGGAGAGCAACGTTAAACGATCATCTGATGAGAAGCCAAAATAAAGGCCCACACAGAAGAGGAGAGCCTTTGTTGCGGCACAGGGTGGTTGTAAAAAATGTTCTGCTACTGATCACGCTCTCACTCAGTGCCCTTTATTTAGTTCACTAGACTGACAGGATAAATTTATTTTTATCAAGCAATCCGCTCTCTGCATAAATTGTTTGCGCACCGGCCATTTGGCGAGCAGATGTCCAAGTAGATAGAACTGCTCATCCAGAGCAACCAACACAGATTGCTGCCCACACTTCTCAGCAGGAGCAGGAACCCACACATGCTGTTTCCATGCTTTCGCATCATTCGAGGCGCGCTTTAATTCCTACGGCAGTAGTGTTGATTGGGGATAAGTTCGGAATATTTCAGCCAGCCAGAGCTTTGCTTGACTCAAGCTCTGAAATAAATTTCATCTCTGAAGAGTTGGTGAAGCTCCTTCAGCTCAGATTCGAAAGACAGAAGTATGAAACTTCTGGTATAGGTGATGCCAGAACGCAGATGCGATTTTCTGTCTCAACAACTATTCGATCACGACTATCAGTAAATGAATGACATTTACAATTCACTGTAGCGAAGACAATATCGCTAAACCAGCCAGAGCTTTTCGTTGACACTTCACAGGGGAACATACCTACAGAGATTGACCTTGCAGGTCCAGGATTCTACATGCCTCACAAGATTGACTTACTCACCAGCACACAAGACTTTTTTGATTTACTTTCAAATGGAAAATTTTCTCTGGGGCCTGGCCTTTCTTGCCTGGTCAATACTGCACTTGGTTGGATCGTTAACGGAAAAGTTTCTGAAATTCCGCAATCACAAATTGTCACATGCAACATGGCACGTTCCTCGGAGCTGCAAGATGCATTAGAAAGGTTTAGGCTAATAGAGGAGTTTGATTCGCACCATAATTGTTTCACCGTAGAAGAGGAGGAATGCGAACAGCATTATTTGGCAAACACAAAGTTTCCAACATCTGGACGGGTCTAAGTTTGCTTGCCCTTTAAAGAGAACCCTCACAAGTTAGGAAAGTCTTTTGAAATTGCCAAATCCCGGATTCTTCAAAATGAACGCAGGTTGAACCGCAACCCGTTGTTAGGAGAGATTTACGTGAAATTCATGAAGGAATACATCGCTTTGAATCACATGCAATTGGCATCTGATTTCGACTCGCAGAAGACCCATTATGTAATCCCGCATCATGGAGTCCTTACATCAGAAAGCACAACTACCAAGCTGCGTGTTGTGTTTGATGCATCGTGCAAAACAACGTCGAACATTTCTTTGAATGAGTTGGTGATGATTGAGCCAGGCATTCGGCAAAATCTTATCTTAACACTTCTAGCCTTTCGCTTACATCGTCATGCACTGGTAGCGGATATCTGCAAGATGTATCGCCCGTTTGAAGTATCACCAGACGATCGTATGTATCAATTTGTTCTCTGGAGAGAATCCTCTGCTGCGCCTCTGAAATTGTTTCAGCTAAACACTGTCACGTACGGCATGTCCTGCGCACCATTTCTAGCAATCAGGAGCTTGAAATATATTGCGGATCACTTCTCAAAGCAGTATCCCATCGGAGCAGCCGTACTTAAGGAAGAGATGTATATCGATGACCTCCTTACTGGAGCAGACAGTGTCGAAGAGCTTCATCTCAAGGCTGCAGAGGTCACCAGCATACTTTCTAAGGCTGGATTAGAGCTTGCAAAATGGAACACAAGCAAAATAGAAGGCAATGGAGCAGAGTTTCAATTCAAAGTTGATGCCAAAGATGTAACGAAGACATTGGGCATGTCGTGGCAGCCCGAACTAGATGTTTGAGGTATACACTACCTACAATCACTGTCATCACGAAACCGAGCTTCATTTCACTTGTTGCGCTCCTGTACGATTTGCTAGGGCTCGTATCACCAGTCGTTATTCGATGCCAAATATTCGTCCAAGAGTTGTGGATGCACCGTTTGAACTGGGACGATCCGCTTCAATCCCAGTGGAAGCGAAAAGAAGAAGATTTGCACAATCTTCAAACCATCGAAATTCCAAAATTTATTAATTCGTCACAAAGAAATCTACCGGAAATACACGGACTTTCAGATGCATCGCTGCGAGCTCATGGCTGTTGCCTTTATCTACGAACAAACTTAAATGGAGAGTTTAAATCAATACTAATTATCGCAAAGTCTAAAGTGGCCCCAAGGCAATTATTGCCGCGGCTAGAATTGTGCACCGCGTATTTATTGTGTCAAACATGGGCCAAGGTTGAGGAAAAATTCGAAAATTACATTAATAACGTTTTCCTTTGGACAGATTCAAGAATTGTTCTACAGCGGCTAACCATGCACTCGTCCTGGCTAAACAGTTTCGTCGCCAACCGGATTTCTGAGATGCAATCAACCACTTCAAACATTATTTGGAGACACGTTCCGGGCAAGGACAATCCCGCGGACATAGTGCCAAGATGCTGTGCCGCATCTGAGCTTATGAAAACTATATGGTTTAGTGGACCAAGCTTCTTACGTCAACCCTCATCTGGATGGCCTCAACCAGTGATAAATTCTCAGGACACCGAACAAGAGTTGGAGCTGCGAGAATCAACAGTCCTCACATGTACCGATTGTGGCAGCAAAGAAGATGTGTTCGATTACATTATCAACAAGTTCTCATCCTATCGGCGCATTCTGCGAGTCATAGCTTTTGTGATGCGCGTCTTCAATCGAATCAAGGCCAACAGGAAATTGAACGTAGTCGATGTAATTCATACATAAGCAACTGAATTGCAATACGCGTTCAAGCACATCGTATCACATATCCAGCAGAAGACCTTTTTCAACGAAATTCAGCAGCTCAAGGAAAACAAGATTTTAAAACCCGAATTTCAAAAACTAAATCCATTCCTAGCAGCGACTGACGGATCAAACCGTTTTATAACACTATTAAGTGTAGGAGGCCGCTTAGCCAAGGCGCCCATTTCACTGGATGCATAATTGCCTGTGCTTCTTCCAAAGGATCATTGCTTAACATTGAAATTTGTTGAGTATCTGCACCGGCAGCACATGCACGCTGGACCAAAGCCTCTTATTGGAATTCTGCGACTCCAGGCTTGGATTGTAAACGCCAGAGAAATCGTTCGAAAGATTGTACGGCGCTGCACACACTGCTACCATTATAAGCCGCGTTTAATGGAACAAATAATGAAATCACTTCCAGGTGATCGCTTTCATTCTCAACGACCCTTTTTTGTAACTGGAGTCGACCTATGTGGACCATTTGCCACATCATACCGCATTCGAAGCAAAGTGCCATATAAAACATACATGGCCGTGTTTATATGCTTTTCGTCAAAAGCAATACACATAGAACTCATTTCCGATCTGTATGCTAATAACTATATTCTTTGTTTAAAGCGCTTCGTCAGTCGCAGAGGCGTCCCACTACGCATCTATTGTGACAATGCAACTAATTTCGTCGGGGCACGATCTCAGCTCGAGGACTTTAAGCAGCAGCTGTTTGACGAAGCCAATACATGAATGTACATGACTTTAGCAGCATCGTGGGAGTTTAATTCCATCCCTCCGCGAGCTCCCCACCTTGGCGGCTTGTGCGAGGCCGCAGTGAAGTCCATGAAGACCTTGATGATGAAAAGCTTGGGCAACACTGGGCTAACGTACGAGGAGCTTCAAACGATTGCAATCGCGGCGGAGGCAATCTTAAACTCAAGACCAATGGCACCCCTATCCGAAGACCCGAACGATGGAGAGGCACTTAGCCCAGCGCACCTGCTGATTGGGTCCTCTCAGATGTCTGTTCCGGAGCCTTCAATTGACAAGAGCAGACCATCCTATCTTACGCGGTGGCAGCGCATAACGTACTTGAAGCAGCAGTTCTGGGAGCTATGGAGGCGTGATTATTTACATACACTTCAGGCGCGCTTCAAATGGCTCAAGCCCGATGCCAACATTCAAATTGGCCAAATTGTAATAATTCAGGAGGATAATACACCTCCCTAGGAGTGGATCCTGGGTCGCATCACCAAAACGCGTTTTGGAGCTGTTGGACGGGTAAAAGTGGCCGAGATCAAGGTGAAAAATGGAACCATTCGTAGACCGATCTGCAAGATAGCGCCCCTGCCTGAGCGAATTAGTGCTTGAGTACTCCTTGGATCATTCGACGGGCGGAGAATGTTTGATGACATCACAACTGAACGTCAAATTACATTTTTTATTCTTTGTTTATAAATAACTTTATTTAAAAACAGTTGGTTAATTTGAATTCCTTGCCAACTTGTACTACTTAATTACCCTTCACTGTAATCATATGTTTGTATTTTGAATTCGCTCTTATACATACAGTTTACACATGTACATCTCGCTCATTGTAATCTCAAACTTGAACATTAAATCAGTGCATATTAGAGATCGAAACAACTCGGACGTTTTACTTTGATAACTTTGCATTTGCAGAGTCAGCACACCATTCTTCTTCAAGCCCCAAAAAATAGATATGCTTATGGACGCTGATACTTTCTTTGAACTTTTATCTATTCGCCAGATATAGCAGGGGCCTGAACTCACCATCTTACAAAAGACAGTTCTCGGCTGGATAGTGTCAGGGAGATGTGCGTCTGAAAATAATGTATAGGCTGAACAAATGGTACATCTCAGCTGCCAGGAGGAAGCTTTGGAGTCCATTGACACAACCCTGCAGAAATTTTGGTCTGTGGAGGACTTGCCACCCAAGGCTAAAGTCCATACTCCTGAGCAACAACTCTGTCAACAACACTTTGAGAAAAATACTCAAAGAATGTCGATTTTCGGCTAGGAGAGATGGCGTAAACAACTCATCCAAAAGCCGCAAAGGTTATTCAGAATGATTTTTATGTTGACGATTTGTTGACTGGCGCCGGATGCGTTAAGGACCTGCAAAGTCTTCGAGACAAAGTTTCTCAGGTCTTGCAAGAGGCAGGCTTTGAATTGGCAAAGTGGTTTTCAAACTGCTCAGAGTTATCCGCATCTGATAGCGCTGTACTGCCACTTATGGCAGACTCAGACGTAACTAAGACCCTTGGCGTGGTTTGGTTACCGATTAAAAATTACTTTCAATTTCGGTTGGATGACTCTTTCCTGGATCTTCGCGCGACAAAGCGAAATATTTTGCTGGTAACTGCTCGACTTTTCGACCCACTTGGCCTATTGTGTCTTATGGTCACAAAGGCAAAGATGTTGTTGCAGGAACTGTGGCTTCGAAAATTAGATTGGGACGAGTCATTACCGATGCAGTTGCTTACATCATGGGAGACGTTTAAGGCGACGCTTCTGCAGCTGCCGAAAATTAAGTTGTCGCGATTTGTCAACACAGATTCAAAAGACCCGATTCAAATACATGGTTTCGCTGACGCTTCCATGCGAGCGTATGGTGCGTGTATCTACGTTCGTACTCAAACTACTGAAGATTTGGAAGTGTCTTTATTGACCGCCAAATCGAAAGTAGCGCCCCTCAAGACGCAAACTTTGCCTCGCCTTGAACTGTGTGCAGCTCACCTTTTAGCAAATCTCTATAATCGTGTCTGGCCATTGCTAAGTTGTCCCATTGAGAATGTTTTCCTGTGGACAGACTCCTAGATCACTTTACACTGGATCAAAACCCATCCCCCTTGCAGAAATTCAGGAGTGGTCGGAGAAAGCAATTTGGAGACACTTTCCCACGAAAGTCAACCCAGCAGACATGATGTCCCGAGGATGTGACGTAGAGGAGCTTAGAACGTCCATTTGGTTCAGTGGGCCTTCGTTCTTGCTAGACTCAGAAAATAATTGGCCTGTAAATAAACATTTCGAACTGCCGGCTGATGTAATGTCGATGGAGCTACGCAAATCGGCAATAGCTCTCGTAGCCATCCCAGAGCCAAATTATTTGCTTCAGAAAATAGAGTCCTTTTCGTCGCACCTGAAGCTTCTGAGAGTTTTCGTATGGGTTTTTCGTGTTATTAAAAGGTGCAGAAAGGTGTCGAAGCCCTTTGAAAAAAGTATTTCGCCAAGAGAACTGGATTTCGATTTTGAGAAAATGGTTGAAGCTATCCAATCTCACGAATTAAGGGACGACATATGTAAAATTTGGAAAAATAAACCGGAAGCAACGAATCTTCAAAAATTAAACCCTTTTCTTCAGGAAAACAAATTAGATTAGTGTTCCTCGACATTGCTACGAGTTGGCGGTCGGTTATTGAATGCTCCTATCCCGTACGAAGCCAAATTCTCGTTGTTGCTGTCTAAAAGCTCACATTTTGTCAGATCCTATATGTCATTCCTGCACGTTACGAACTGTCACGCTTGCCCACGAGCTCTCGTAAGTCGTCTGCGCGAGAAAATATGGCTAGGTAATGCTCAAGAATTCTGCCGACAAACAGTTCGGTCGTGCATGCGCTGCTTTCGCTGCAACCCAAACTCTTGACGCAAATTATGCCAGCAGATAGACTTCAAGCTCCCCCCCGTTCAATATTATTGGCGTTGATTTTTGTGGTTCCTTCAGCACAACGTATCGTATCCGTGGTTAGCCACCGTGCAAGTCGTACGTGGCCTTGCTCGTCTGTTTTGCAACCAAAGCGGTCCACTTAGAATTAGTGTCTGACCTAACCACTGATGCGTTCTTGTTGGCATTTCAAAGGTTCGTGAGTCGCCGCGGGATTCCGGAGAAGGTGTGGGGCGATAACGACGGTGAAGCCCTGACCGGCAGGCCCTCTTCTAGCCCCACCATCAGCGGCGCTCCCGGACCAGATCAGCCTGACCCGCTTGCGACGATGGCGGGGTGTCTCGTCACCCAGGCACAGGTTTTGGCAGCGGTGGTCCCGGGAGTACATCTCCAGCCTCCAGCTGCGGTCCAAGTGGCACCAGGGGGAGCCCAACATCGTCGTGGGAGCGCTCGTCGTCGTCGCAGAAGACAACCTTCCGCCCCAGCAGTGAAAGATAGGACGAGTGGTAGCGGTGCACGCCGGCGCCGATAGCATGGTTCGCGTGGCGAACGTCAGGACGCAGGAGGGGGAGTATCGGCGAGCAGTCCACCGACTGGCCCTGTTGCCCGTTCTGGGCTGAAGGACGTCGTCCCTTCAGAGGGGGCGGTGTTTGCGCACTTGGCGCTTGTATCTGAAATCACTAGTTGTAGGGCGAGAGCGGGAGCCAATAAAGCTTTCGTCCGTTCGCTCTTGCAAAATCGCCCCGTCTCTCGCCAGTGTAGCATAAGTTAGCTTTTAAGAGAAATTATTGAAATATTAAAGTTAGTGCTCAATCGAACGTCATCGAAGCCACTCATTTCGTCGTCGTGCTTTCAAAATAGTTTCTTCACAAGTTTCGCAAAATAAAACGCCTCAAACTACTGCAGTCACAAGTTTCGCGGTTTTAATACAAAACAGTATTACATTTTCAGTGCGTTTAATTTCTATTTCTAAACTAAAAGGTTGCATTTTGATTGTTTTCCCCATAAACATTTTGGTGACGTGATATTCGTTTAATCGGAGTCTGCATGTCGGTTTTTAATATTGTTAAATATCGTTTAAACAATAACTTATTTTCGCTGTCGTTTGCTGAATCTCAGTCACCAACACACAAACACAGATTAGTAGTTCCACACCGGCCAATTCTACATCCCTTGATATTATAAACAATGCTGATCTTTCCTTCAGATTTAGGAAGCCTCGATTGCCAAATTTAGAAATTGCTCGTTTTCAAGGATCGTACTCAGAATGGCCGGACTTTCTTGCAACTTTCACCACGGTCATTGGAAATGATGACGAGCTAAGTAATATTGAAAAAATACAATATTTGAGGTCCTCTTTAGGCGGCGTGGCTTTGGAAAAAACATGCGAACGCTCGAGCCCTCAATTGAAAATCATAAAAAGGCCTTAAATTTACTTATTAATCGATTTGATAATAAAGTTTTACACTTTCAGGCACACGTTCAGGCAATATTCGGTTTAAAAGGTTTCGAGAAGAGATCAGCTAAGGGTCTTCGGGAGCTTAGCGATTGGATAAATTCGCATATTCGAGCAATCCGTACCCTGTCCACTACCCAAAAAATTCTGGATGGATTTCTCTTTCATATCGTGACATAAAAGCTGGATCAAAGGACCCGTGAAAAATGGGAAGATGATTTGTCAATCTCTGAGCTATCTACCTGGGATGCTGTGGAGTCGTTTTTGGAGAAGAGGTTCCGAATGATGGAAAACTTGGACCAAGCTGGGGTAATTTAAACACCATACCATCAGGTGGGAAAAAGCATGCATAGATATAACCCAAGTGTACTGATTAAGTCTGCTACTAACTCAAAACATCCAGTTTCCTCATTTTGCGATGCTAGAGATAATTATTTACCTAAATGCTCCCGATTTTTAAGCTTGAGTCCCAATCTTCGATATAGAGAAGCAAAGCAAATGCACCTTTACTCCAACTGTTTACGCAAGGGGCATAGCTTGCAGCAATGTAATTCAACTCATTGTAAAAATTCTCGCATGAAGCACCACTCATTACTGCAGTTTATCCCAGAGGCATCCATACCATCGACCTCAGTTTCATCTCCATCATCCGACCCATCTATAAGCTCTCAGCCATTACCATCGACTTCATCATTACAACCTAATCACCATTTAACGCACTCTCCACCACAATTCTTAAATACAACGCCAATATTTTACGTGCTGCTTTCAATTGCTATTATCTACGTCAAAAATAGACTTTATAACTTTGCGCTTAGCTAGACAACTTAATTTGAAACTTAGACAATCGCAAACACTAATTTCTGGGATAGGGGAATCTTTCATGAACTCTGATAAGGCAGTCGATATTCTGGCGCAATCACGGGATGCAAGCTATCGTGCGTCATTCGCAGCTGTTGTAACCCATAGTATCACTGATTACCAGCCAAATTTCAATATAAGTACTACAGGATACAGGATGCTACAAAACATTTCGCTAGCTGACCCTCATTTCAACCAGTCACAACGAATTGATCTTTTAATTGGCGC